TTTTCCTTTTCTTTATATTTTGTATTTCAAATTTTCCTTTTCATTTCTAACTTTTAAATATTTATCTTTAAAATCTCAATAAAATATTATTTTAAAAAAAACAACCCTGGAAGAGAGTCTGCTGGGAGTTGGTGGACTCTACCTCACTGGAGGGTTTTGTTTAAACTGGATGGCCAATTGTCACATGCATGGAGTGGATTTCTGCACTGTGCAGGGTGTTCAGTGGAACTGGATGAATCCAAGGTCCCTTCCAACCTTTTTTGATTATGTGACTGTATTTTTATGGACAAACAGCAGTTTCAGAGGGAAGCCCCAATAATCTCTGGTCCCAGATTCTCAACTTACCGGTTTAAAAAATCTGGTTCTCTCAGATTCTCAGTAAGTCCTCAAAGACTTGGACCTTGAGTCCTTTATACTCTAGGCAATTTAAACAAAAACTCATTTAATACTTAATTTTTCTGTGAGTAATGTGCTCATTTCATTATAGAATGCCCCTGGGTTGTTCTGTAGTAGAAGAACATCTTGATGTCCTGTATACCTGCCTTCTGTCAGTAGCTGTAAAATTCAGAAAGGGCAGATTTCACTGAGTCATTGGAGAATTAATTATACCCCCTTGTTCTTCCAGTTCTGGGACTCCTAGACAGTTTCAAACAGTGTCTTTGGATTTTGAGATACTCCGCCTTGACTTGTGATTCTTGAATTAGTATAAGGAGTTGTTTAGTTCTGAATCCATGCACCACTCTAAATTCTAAAAGCTTTATTTGCTTCTTGTTAAATGCCTGTCAATTGTGATGTTATTGACAGTTACATGTCAGTTGGCTTAAGTGCTATGTAAACATTGCTTTAAAAATTTTCGCCCACTGTTTTATATTTTTCCAAGGGCCTTTCTTTGGTTTGATTTTAGGGGCAAATTACTGTTCAGTATTGTTTTTACAGGTAGGGTAGAGCTTAATTTGCATGGAGTGCTGAATGTTCTTTTGGATCAAAGTAAGGTGAAAAACTTACCTATATTGTTCAATGCTTCTTTTAATTTTCCCCTTGGGAAATACCACAAAATTGTATATAACCAAAAAGAAAATTAATTGGTTTGAGGGTGCTTTTTGTTCAGTGAACTAAGAGACAAAGAAGACATCTTCAGTGCTTGCTAGACACACCATGCCTGACAGCATATAAATACATAATACATGTGTTTCTTTTTTCCAACACACGTAGACATTTCTGTTCCTTTTGTGGGAACAAAAGCATATTCTATATTTTAACATGTTCAAATGTTCCGCCCCAACTGTGTTGAAGTCTGCAGCCTGCCAATCTGGATCTATAATTCTGCTTATTAAACAACATAATCATAATATACTGTTGCTCCAACCCTGCCCCTCCCAGCAAACTCCATTTTAGTTGGCAACAGATCTCCAGGATCATATGAACAGATCACTTTTATTGTAGTTATCCGGAGATAGTCTGGGTTATTTTACATGGAAGTAAGGGCTCTCTTACTACACCGTAACATCTGTACTTCTCTATTTCCCTGGCTTGGTGATGGGATAATTCGCATGTGATAAAACTGATAAAAACAAATCCAATCCAATTTGATTTTTTTTTTAATATGATGATTAAAAGCAAGTTATGACCACGCTTCAGGTAAGACTTCCAGTTCAATACTGTAATGAATCTGATCACAGCGTCCTACTCAAACGTGGCTGTTTTTACACTGCAATTAACTCAAGAGGGCAGCATTGCTACGTTGCTGTAGAAAAGCATTTGGTTATTGTATTACTGTACCACTTTTTTTTCCCAACGAGCTGTCCTTTCTCATCTATGAATAGCTTTGGAAACCTAGAATAAAAACTAGGACAGAAAAGTATATACAGTGAGGACCAGTATTTTAAACATCTGTAGAAAAATATCAGTTGTAGATATTTGGAGAAGGTTTGATAAAGCCCTTGGCAGAAGTGTTAATTTCAACTCAAAGCAAAGGGCGAAATCTGTTTGAGGCTTTTCTGGGTAAACCTGTAACTGCTTGTAGCTTGGGTACTGCAACTAAAACAATAGATTCTATAGTCTAGACTATATTCTTGGATAGAAGAAATTAAGCTTGAGATCATTGGTCAGTTTCCAAAGGGTTTTTGTCTGCTGCTTGCTGGGATTCATTGACAGTCTTTTGGGGTTGATCCACCGACAAGATGCTAATGCCCTTGAGCATAATCAAGGTCATTTAACAGCTAATTACAGTGGGATACCTGTGGCCTTCTAGATTAATTATCAATACCAGCAGCTCCGGCCAGGTGGGCAATGATAACATCCGGAGACCAGTTTCGCTCCCCCGAGCTGACATAACTGCAATTTTGAGATGTTTCTTTGTAATTTTACACCACTTCCTGGGACCTTGGGAATTCTAGTGAAAAGAGAAAAGGAGCCTGCTCTTGATAGACACCCATGTCCATATTTGAGGTATGTTTATTGTTCCTGAACACGTGCAGATATGGGCAAACATGGGAAGGGCCGGCGCTGAGAACTGAAAAGGGAGGAGTATGCTTTGACTACAGCAAGGTTGTTTTATCATCCTGAATATGATAAACCATGGAGATGGCCAGCCACAGTAACGTGAAGTGGAGCTGGTAAATCAATACATTCTGCGGAAGTGTTTACACAACCAGCCAATGCTGCTTCAGCTCCATTTATGCTCTTGTGTGAGTTTGTATTTTAAGCAGCCCAAAAGGAAACATGAGGAACATTACAGAAACCATTGCGTAATATTGGAGGGGAAAAGGGCATTCAAGGCAGCTGAGACAAACAAACTCTAAGGCATAGCTTTGGATAAAACCACTCAGAGGCCAATTCCCAGATTATGACATAGATCAGCCTTCTTTGTGGGTACTTTTACTCTTCAGACATCTTGGACTTTAACTCCCTAGCCACCATGGCTTAAATGTAGGCTTAGGAGCAGCCTTGATGCCTAGCCAAACAGCCAACTAGCTGGGAAATTGGGGAGTTGTATTCCAGACCCCTTGGAGAGAAACAGGCTTGGGGAATACAGCTGGGTTCTTATGGGAAATCCTCACACGAATAATGTTGTTTCGTGCCATCATAGCAATTCTGATAAACTTCAGACAAAATTCTAAATATCTTGGGAATTTCAGTGGAAAAGCATCTGATACATTTTACGAATGTCTGTCCCTACCCTTTCACTTGTATTTGTTTCTTAAAAGTTGCCACAGGACATATTCCAATGCCAGAAAAGCAGCTTATTTATTTATTTATGAACGGTATAAAAATAGTTTCTCTTTTTACACCAGTGTCCGTTCTGTCTGTTGCATCACAGCAGTGCATGGTTCGAGGCTAGTGCTTGCAACCAGACACCCACTGAAATTGTAATCTCTTTAGTAACCTGTCCGTTACAAGATGTTTGTCTTCACATTGTAGCTGTACTCACGTACACAGCCAGTCACGTGTAGCAGCTGACCATGGAAATAGATTTTTCTCCACATCACCTGAAACTTTGCTCTGACTCTAATGGGTAAGTGATACAGGAACATTCATCTCTCTCTACAGTAGTTAAATACTGAAACTGGCTTTTCACAGTAATAAAATAGTCAATATATTCTCTGTCCATTTGTGTGGTGTACCTATTTTTTTCCCTATCTGCCCTTTGGAGAGAGTTTTATACATACACAGAGGGATTCCTGTTTTATATATATAGCAAATGAGCTGAAGCTTGTGAGAAAGTAATTGGATTAGGGCCACAATTGGCCTTGTGCCTCAGTTCCCCAGATCAGCCTCCTCCAACCTGGTATCCTCCAGATAGGCTGCAACTACATCTTCCAAATTCTACAATGGTAGAGAATTCTGGGAGTTGTAGTGCCAGCATTTGTGGCAGACGCTAGGATATCTAGCCTCCAGGTAAACACTACCCTAGCCTACACTTCTTCCCTTAGCAGGTGATACAGTATTCAACTTGGAGTTGAAAAACCTAAATTCCCTTCCCAAGTAACCTGTGTTACCTGTGAAAGCATGCGTATATGCAGCTGGGCTGAGTTGGCCTATAGGCCAAATAGCTCAGAATGGTCTGCTATGACTGATACCAGGTCTCAAAATTTTCAGGTAGGCTCCTTCCTTGCCTTGCTTACTGAAATTCCTAGAACTGAAAATATAGGAAGGTGACCCCAGTGTCCTCTGCACAAGGTCCTCTGGGTCCTTTCTTTCCCAGATTTAGAAAATAGAATAGAAAAAAATGTGAGAAAGAATGGGATGGAAATGTGCAATATTATTGTAGTGCTGAAGCATGCCTGTGGCTGGAACGCTATTTAACAAGGTGGGAGGGGGACACATCTGCAACCCTAACCAGTGTTTCAGGCCAGCTAGGTTCTTTCTCAGGGTCATCCATATTTCTAGCTAATTAGATGGTTCTACAAATCTAAACAATTACATATACTAGGCATGGATAACCAAGATACACTGTATGGGAGGTTGATTGTTCCATACTGATAATACTTCTATGGTTTTTATGATACTCCTTCCCCTCCAAATACTAGTCTTATAAACATGCAATGTGTAACATATGGGTTAATATTAAACATATCTAAGTGGGCTTTAAAGTTTGCTGATAACCACTTCCAAACATTATACTGCCTGCCTGCCTGCCTCCCTCCCACCAGCATCATTCACATGTGTATCTAAACCTGAAATGATGCCCTTGGCCTATATAGTTGATATCCTGGCCTAGGGCATCTCAAATTCCCTCCTTGAGTTTGCAGGGGAGTTGTTTTTCTAAGATGAATGCAGCTGTCTTGTGGGAGGTGATTTTTTCTTTCTTTCTTTCTATGGTGTCTCAGAAACATAGGAATAAAGACAGATCTAGTAGAGGTTCATCTTGTCCTTCCTTGACTACATTCATTGCCTCCCTCCCCTGCTCGCTTGCGGTCACTAGCTGACAGGAGTCAGCCCCATCCTACACACTGGAGCCTGCCAAGTCCTTCCCACCTGGGCCTGGAGGAGAGACACCAAGGCGGGCAAGCTGGGTTCACATACCCAGACCAGGTGCTGCTGGAAAGTAGATGGGGTCCAACAGCTTTCTCCTTTGGCTTTTTATGCTGGGGCAGCAAAATCGGTATATGGATGCACTGAGTAAAAACCGTAGCTGTGTCTCCTATGGATCCAATGCTCTGACTGAGGGACTGGAGCACCTCCGAGGCTTAATCTTGGAAGATGGTCGTAATGGCACAATCCAGTGCCCTCACAATCAGTGCTGTTTTGGCATCTGGAACCTGAACCAAGGACAACTTCAAGCCAAGGTGCAAGGTGAGGACCAAATGGCAGATGCAACTAGGGAGTCTTCCCTGGGGAGTGAGGGTGAAACAGAAGCAGAATATCAGCAAGTACTTTGTAAGTTTTCTGATTCTGGCTAATAAAGGTTGGTGAGATTTTTTAATGTAGGAATACATGACTCAGGGATATAATTCTGTCATGTGCTGCTGTGTAGGGATTCAAAAGTATGGATTTCAGGATCTTGTACTTTTTGCCATAAAACAGATCATAAAGTACATGCTATGTTCTTCAAGTGGAGTTCTCCACCCCAAAATATTACTAACCAACAATACTAGCAAATATTGGAAATGGAGATGGAGCATAGAAGGAAAAACTGGAGATGCAACTACTATTTCTGTGGTTCTTTGACTGACATGCATCAAATTAAAAGGCACTATATGAGTGGGGGTGGATTCTAAGGATTGATCTGAACATGCATTTTGATCAACTGATGTCTCATCTCTGGATGATTCTCAGCTGAATGGCCGAACTATACCTCTTGCTCCTATTGGGTAGGAAGTAAGGAGATAGGAAACTTTGGGCTGCCTCACCCAAATGTATATTCTTCCCTTGATATTTGTAGTCATCAAGAAATTGCTTACCTTTGCAAATATTTTTTTTCTTCCTGGAGTTTTTCCCACAGGTGCAGGGTCCACTTTTTTTTTTCCAGATCAATTGAATGTTGATCCATTGCAAATGCATGCCAAAAACAAATGGAACCTTTTCCATTGGTTGGTTTATCCTTCTGCTTGCTTGAACTCACCCTCCCTAAACCTAAGAGATACATTGGGTTATAAATACACCTTGTATTTCCTAGGTGGCCACTTTTTTATTATCTTGCATCTCAGATACTGAAGTTTCTCACCAAGCAGTACACAAATCATAGTATGTAATGTTAGATATGGTGGGATTATTTGGAGAGTTTATTTGTTGCATTGCTATTCAACCTTAAAGGAACTCAGTTTGGCAGAAGGTCTTCTGAGTACTTCATTTTCTCCTCCTAACAACCCTTGAGGTAGGTTAAGAAGATAGGCTAAGAAATATTGACTGGTTGGCTGAAGTTCACTCAGTTAGTTTCATAGCTGAGTGAGGATTTGAATCTGCTTCTCTTGAGTTTCTGTTGATTTGATCTGGTCTCACCCAACCCTGTAACACTCTGAAGGAGAGAAAGACAGATCAGGAAATAGAGGGGGTGTTTGCATCTCTAGAAATGTGTTCCCCAATAAACATGTTGGACTATAATTCTCAGCCAAAGACGACTGTGGATTTTGGAAATTATAGACCAAAATACCTGCAAAGCAGCAGACTGAAGAAGGTTGTTCTCGCCTTAGATCCAGGCTTTAAAGGAGGATCTTTAAAAAACAAAACAAAATCTCCAATCTTAAATCCCCAAGATCCAGTACTTAGGACTGAGTGTTTGACTAGTATCTCAGTGAGCAAATATGCACTGAGATAAACAATGGGATAAACATATTATAACAGATAAACACATTAAACAGTGAGTATGTGCATATGCTCTGTTCAGGACTCTCTTACAATAGCTAGGGCAAAACTCTCAGCCTTTTCACCCAAATATTCGTTC